CAGAGTTCTTGCCACTTCTTCAGCCCATGGCCCAGGGCAAAGCAGCTTGCACGGGGCAAAGCAGCCTGCACAGGGTGCCCCTCCCTGTCCCCCGGCACACTGATGCCGGGGAGTGCACCAGACGGTGCACATTTGATTAACCGGCATCCCCCATTCCCAAGGGATGCCGGATAAAAGAGCTTTTACTGTAGCTGGTTTCTAGCAAGCCTTAGTTTGCACATGTAGGCAAACCCTGTTGCTGGGAGACTGCAGCTGCTGTGATCTCCCAGCTGTGGGAGCACAGCTGGGGCCAAGAGTCCCTGCAGCTGATTCTCAACTCCAGAAGCAGCTTGCAGCTGTGAGATGCTGTGGCCTGGCAGGTGTGGGGCACTGCTGTTTTCTCCCAGCTCCGAGGGTGCATGTTATATTCTGTGGTGGGAGATTACAGTGGCTGCAGTCTCCCAGCTGCAGGGGTGCATGAGACTCCCCCATGGCTGGGAGCCCGGTCAGCGGTGGGGGCCTACTTCTTGCTGGTGTCATTTTTATGTCATGTTACGGTGAGGGGCCTGATCTTATTTTTTTGTCAGAGCCGGAGACTGCCCGTGGTCAGGGGGCAAGCTGCCGGCAGGCTGAGTGGCCCCCGAGCTGTGGGGGCCCCCGGTTCTTCCCTCCAGAGGGGTGGTGTCCCTTAGGGCTGCCCAGGTGAGCTGCTAGCTTGGAGGCAGCACCTGGCCTGATCCAACTGTTCCCTGACCCCACCCAAGGAGCAGTGCCTGGTGGGCTTCCAGTGGGTGGGCTCGGGGAAGAGTTGGATTGGGCTGGGTGCTGCTGGGCCTGCTAGCAGCCCACCTGGGTGGCCACTGAGGGAAGGACTGGGGCCCCCCCTGAAGCACCCCCAGGGGCAAGCCAGCTCATTCCTGGGGGGGGTCCCAGGTGTTCTGCCAGTAACAGGAGCCTGCTGAAAGCAGAAGGGGTGAAGGACCCAATCCTTTTTTTCTCAGTAGCCTGCCTGCCTCTCCCATGACTTGGGGGTGAGCTGACGGTCGCATCATTGTAATAGGCAACCTTGCAAACTAAATTACATTGGGACGTAGTTTAGTTTGCAATGAAGCAAGCTCGTTTAAAAGCCCCAAAGCTCTTGTACATGTAGTGTGACACTTTTAAGTCACACAAAGTGACATTTTCATCACATGTACATGGTAGTGGCGTCACATGTACAAGCGCTGATTGGCTTAACATTTAGCAGCCAATGGGAATGTCTGTTTTTCAGGGTTGTTGGAGTTTTATGAGCAAGCCAGACTATGGATAGTGTAATGCTTGTTGTAACACTTGCTGAATTTTGAATAGTTACAAGACTTGGCAGGACCAGAGAAGACAAGAGAATTGCACAGACAGCTCACACACAGTAGTTCAGCTTTCCCAAGAGAAGTCCAGAGCATGGTATAAGCATCCACGATGGGACTGTTGATTCTTAGACAAGATCTACACTGTAATCAGGCGAGATTGCAGTATGACAGGTAGACATCCCTTCAGGTCTGTATTTATGGCACTAGCTTTAAATCTAGCTACTTCAGGTACTAATAGCAGTGAAACAAGGACTGCATAACCCCACCAAGGAGCCCAGGGGGATGGCTCAGGAGGTAATTTTTGCCAATATGTTCCTATCTATTTGGCAGCTGGAGGCCACGCCAAAATTACTTCACTGATGTTAGGACTCAAACAAACTGGGCTTAAGTTAGCCCCAGTATATCTACAGTATCTCTTTCTCTCCTCTTTGCCATTTGAGATACGGGATATTGGGCCAGATGGACCTGTGATCAGACTCAGCATATCATTTCTTCTGTTCTAACATGTGCTGCAGTTGAGCCTCTTAAAAGTTAATAGACTAAAGTTATATCCTAAGGAATGTCACACTGTACAGATGTTGAAGCGTAATTCAGCTGGTCAATATTCATTATATGTTTTCGTGCAGACAGTTTCTTTTTTCTGAAAGTGAAGATAATAGTCAACAATGTTATCGGTGCTCCAGAGATGCTCCATTCCATGTTCATTTCCCAATTCTGCCTTTCCCTTCTTCTTGAAGTGTACTGTGCTTGAACTGTTATATATCTACATGCATAATAGATTTGAGCATCTGCACAGATAGTTTTCAGTCCCCTAAATACTTTGATTAATTACTGGCTGAGTCCATATTTATTTCTACGTTCTTGCAAACAAGCTTCTGTATTTCTGGAACTTATCTACTTGGTGAGATATATCATATCTATGAGACATACTCATTTAAAAGCATATACATGCAACAGTGTATGCCTGACAATTGTAATTGGACGAAAATGAACACAGCTGTCTTAAGGGCATACTTTTCATGAAACACATATAAGTAAAAGACTGATTTCACTTTATAATACCTCATATATCTTCCTGAAAATGCTTAATTTTTTTTCCCCTTCCCAGATACTTCCACATTTCTGGCATCATTAAGACGTTACCTTTCAAAAACACCAGCAGTGCACCCAGAGACTAAAAGTTTCACGAGAGTTGAGCACATGCAATCAGGGGATGCTTTTTTTTAAAGAGAATAGCTCCCAGTTAGGCACCTAAGTAGGTAATCAGATTTTTCAGTCTTGCTCAGCATATTGAATGAAATGTGGGTGCAGAAATTTTTGAAAGTCTGGCCATGGCTGTAGGTGGTGAGCACTCAGGACATCTGGCCTTGAGCTTTTCCATGCTATCGAGCTACACTTCTTTGAGTCTTCTTCAAAGTACTTAAGAGCCTTTCCATTGATTTTGGAGGTGCTTGGAAGACTATGTGCTTCTTTATGAAATGTGGTTTCTCATTTTTGCCCCTCTGCAGTGTACGGTAACATGTGGTGGGGGCGTGCAAATGCGGACCGTGCAATGCTTGAGGCAGGGACGACCAGCATCTGGATGTCTGCCCCATCAGAAACCGGCTATCTCAAGAGCCTGCAATACCAACTTTTGCCCAGCTCCTGAGAAAAAAGGTAAAACTTGCGTTTCTTCAGGATGGGGTGGGTTGGGTCACTCAAACTTTTATGCTTCAGCAAAAAAATCTTTTTTTCCAGGAGCATTTGGAACATAAATAGTTTTTGGCGCTTTCCTGGCCAAATCCAAAATTGTTCAGCAACACCATGGCTCTCAGCACTCCAATACATTTGTGAAGTGCAGCATCTTTCTTTTCACAAGAAGCCCTCTTAAAACAGATGGAGGAGGATAACTGTGAGATCTGATCCATACAAGGCAAGGGGAGAGTTTTTAAAAAGCCAGCACATGTTGATTAAGAAGTAGATACATACATTTTACATACTTCCCCCCCACTCCCTTGGATCTCCCTTGATGCTTTCTTTCCTGTTAATAAGAAAGATCTGGCTGCACTGTGCATTATCTTCATCACCACCCTAAAACGTTGCTGGGAGCATGCCATACACACATTACCAGAGGGTTCAAATTGTGGATTTTCAATAGAGCATTGGCAAAGTGCTCTTACTGTTGCCACATTGAGGCCCTTAAAACTTCATTTTGCTCTCATTTCTCTCCCTTTGGTTTTCAAGATATGGTGAACAAGAAGAATAACCCTTTATACGCCCAGTTCTGTAGTGTTGTTTCCCACCCCCAGAGCTGTCATTAATGGCTTAGCTGTGCCTTGAAGACACTGCTTATAGTAAAGGGAAAGTGTGGAGTTCCACCTTTCTAGCAGAAATATTCAGCCTTATGAAGCCTGCCTTCTGCAGCTTCCAGGCATGTATGAGTTCAAAGCTGTTTCCTGATGTGCACCTAGCTCTTCCTTAAATAGCTGGCCAGGTCTGTGGGGTAGCTAGGCGTAGAATGACATGTTGTGCCATCTACCTGCCTTATCAGGGGTGCTTTGCAGCTGTAGATGAACAGGGAGCAAGCAGACTCCGTGCCCTTGCCAGGGAGAGAACTAGGGCTCTGACTCAGCCCTTATACAGGCTGTGAAAAAAAGAGCGGTTTCTTGCACTTTTTTCTCCTCCAGATTGTGCAGGAGTGCCATGGCCAGGCAGAACATGTGCTCAAGTCCTGAAGGGAACAAAGTCCCTACTTAGGTCAAGATTTATCAAAGTACTTTACAAATCATTCATTCTCAAAAACACCCTGGTGAAGGATTTTAGCGCTCTTAAGCTAAGCGCAGACATTCAGAAAGTCCAAGGTGGATCCAAGTTGCATGGTTTTCTGTAAGTGGTTTTGAATTGGCAGCGATCAGAACACGCATTCGCCGTTTGGTGGTAGGAAGGGGATGGGCAAATCTTAGACCATGTTCTGCCATTTTTAACCCGGTCTGTGTGCGCCGAACTTCTGTTATGGGTATAGACTGATTACTGATCACTTAAAAGTGTAATGTCTGCTCACTTCAAAGAGGGGGAACTGAAAAAGAGTTGTTGCACCTCCCGTGGCCACGGCAGAGCTGGATTCCTTCAGATCCTAAACATGGGCGACTGGTGCCTCCTGAGTCTAGGGGGACACCCGATTGCTGACTGGGGGGTGAGGGGAGAGTCCCCAACAGCTGATCGCTGAGCCAGCGGTACTTCCAGTTTTGCAGCTGGTTCTTCTGGGGGGCATGGCTGATCTCAGGGGGTATGCGTGCAGCCATTACGGATCACCAATGATCCTAAAAAAAGGCAATAACACAGCTTGGACCAGAAGGCTGGGCCAGGCGTCCTGATGTCATAGATGCTAGGGTCAGAAGGGACCTCAGTAGGTCATCAAGCCCGACCCCCTGCCGTGGGCTGGAAGGAGCGCTGCGGCCAAACCTTCAGTTCTAACAGCAGATCAACGTTCCTCCATATTGATTCGAGAAGCTCATTAAATGGAGAAGGTCCCACAAGGCATAAAATCCATTGAACCACTGGAATAGCATACTACAATACTAGCACATGAGCCCAAGATAGAAAACAGAGACAGAAGCAATACAAAGCCTGCTTTCTGTGAGAGCCCTGGGTCTCTAATTTGGGATTTATCAATCAGCTGAACCTGGGCTGGACTGAAGGAATGGATGAATTGGTCCTGAAAGGGAAAAATAAATAACTGAAACTAGTTTGAAATGTGACTGGAGGCTTCTGAAAAATCAGAAGTGAATACCAAACCTTGCTGTAATCCCTGCTGTACTTCAGGACATATTTTTTGTGAATTTATTAAATTGCCTTCCATCATAAGGTAGAAACCCTCCCTCCCCTCATTTCCCTCAGCCATATTTTACGTCCGGGCTAATGTCTGTTATTAATTTTGGCCTTAGTCTGTTTCTTCCTGACCCTGCAGCTGTAGAGCCCCCTTTCCCCTCTATTGCAACTGGGGCTCCAGACTCTGGAGATCAATTATCTCTTTGCTGCTCTCTAAGCCTCCATCGAAACCAGTGAATGTGGAGGGGGCCAGCTGTGCTGGAAGCACATGGAAGCAAATCACTCTCAGTTACCAGCCGCAGAGCTCCAGCTTCGTGAGCCATTAGGGAGAGATTACGGTAAAGAAATAAATGTTTCTGGGAGAGTTATCACACTCCCCTAGACAAGTTGGGTTTCTCCTCTAGCCATTTTTTTTTCATTTCCATCACTCTGCTAGACGCAGGAACAGGTATTGTAACTCACAGGCAGTAAATCCAGATACTTGGAACACCTTGACAAGAAAACAGCTTTAAAAAAAGCAGTTACATTTGAAAACCCAAATTTGTTAGGGTCAATGGGAATCTTTCCAAAAATGTCTGTGGTCTTCGGATGAGGTCCTGAGACCTCTCCCAGAGTGTCTAAGTGACTTAGGTGCCTAAATCCTATTTTCAGGCAGGGCTTTGGAGGCCAAGTTCTGTTGCCCTGGGTAATACATAAGCAGTTTTTGAAAATGAGTCATAAACCAATTTTGAAAATTTACCCAAGGTGACCTTAGGAGCATGGCTGTGTTGGAGCCAGTGCTGAATGATCTTTCTCCGCGTTATTTTGTCATTGTCTGCAATGCCCCTTCTCATCAGTCAAGGCCCTGACTCAAGCTGTCACTGTCAGGCATGGTAAATTTAGTAATCTGAGCTGTGGGTGGTGGATAATGGGTTAAGTAGTGCAAAGTTGGGACTACCAGTTTCATTCCTGCTTGACTCACCACTGTGAATGCAGCACTTCAGAGGGGAAAGACTGCCACCTGGTACCAACCCAGGGAGTCTTGGAGGAGTGTTTGCCTAGTGCCCGCATTTTTGCTTCATGGCGCTGCTGGCTGTTTCCTGGAATATTCACAGCATAGCACAAACATGTCTCTTTTCAGGTCTTGTGATTTTTTTTTTTAATGCCAGTTTATAAAAATAAAGGACTTCAAAAACTCCTTAAGCATTCTTAAAAAAAGAACCAGTATGATGAAGTAGCAGCTCGTAACAGAGGCACACCAGTGAGTGGTGTGACAGACAGGGGAGTTTTTTTTCCTGTGCCACCACTTGCAGTGGCAGATCAGCAAATGCAGACAGCAGTAGCTAGATTGACTACATCTCCCTGTAAATTCCTTTACTGACCATGTGAACAGCACTTGAGAGCTGAGTCGAATCTTTTCCCCATGACATTTCATATTATGGCACAGCTATAAATTTGTCTAATTTAAAAGTTGTAATGCTTCTTCAGACATTTTTGAATTTGTTTATAAATCATCCAGATGAGTCATCACTCTGGACTTTAAAAGAAGTATAAAGCACCCATTACAAAAAATGTGGACTCAGACGGCCAGGAATTTTTTTAAACACACGGGACTTTACATGCAAAAACTCTGTACTAGATAAGCAAAGT